TCAGGTCCCCCCCCCCCCCCTTCTCCCCGTAAAGACAGCAGTGCTAAGAAAATCAAAGGATTTCGGGATGAAAGCAGTACTTTACTGATATAAAATGATGTCAATAAAGGTGAGGGGCAGTTAGAGGAATGAGGAGGCAGATAAAGAGAGAACGCAAAAAAAGTGTTGCAACTTTGCTGTTCTTTCAAAAATTGGTAATTGAACAGAAATGAGTTCTTGTCGAACTTGCAGATTCCAAATAAGCTGCGTTATTTGGTATTCAATTCCGATGTCCCGCGTATGAAAGACTTCCTGGATGGAACTGTTTGTGATCTGTCAGTTTGTTATACATTTTTTTAAACTATTCGCCACCGTTTCTTTCAAGCTAAATTTAGAAATAGTCGCATCCGCCTGGTAATACAGCGTTTTGTGTGCAGATGACAAAAATAACTCCAGAATCTCTAAAACATTCAGTCTACAGCGTAAATTATTCGCTGCGATGGAAAAAATGAGGCAATTTTTTAACTGCATAGCTTTAAATGAACCCTTTCAAGTTTTAAGTCCCAAATTTTCCTCTCGTTTTGCAGCAGTTCAATTTTTGGTTGCGAATAAATAAGCTTCTCATTCCCCTCTCTTCTACTCTATGGCCTCTCCTCCTTTGAGTCTGCTACCGGATTCGTAAGTAATTTTTTCGTAAATTTTTAGCAGTTTTGTCTAAGAAGAGATGTTTTCAGATTTGCACATATTCTGCCCGAGGCAATAACTTACGTTTACGATGAGTTATCCATCAGACTGCCGCTTGATTTGGAGAAGCCGACGACTGAGACCAGTCCACGCAAAACATTCGATGTGGTGTTGCCCGAAAAACCGAAAGCTGCACTGAGCAGTGCAGCACTAGCCGAACTAGAACGAAAACGTTTGGAAAAAAAGAAAAATAATAAGGGGATGGAACGCAAGAGGGCTAAATCACCTTCGGAATGTGGATACCGCGAATTGGCCATTAGAGCAGCAAAAATAGAGCAACGAATCGCTGAGCAGAAAAAGCGCGCTGCTGAAGGTACTTGTTTACAACGTCATTCGCTTTAATAGCGTGTTAGTACATCGCAGTCACTAAAACAGCAGATTTATTCACTAATTTTTTTTTTTTTTTTTTTTTCTTATAACGAACTTCAGCTTTCCTTTAATATTTTGATGATTTTTAGAGAAAAAGCGAAGAAGGGAGCTAAAAAAAGCGAGAGCTGAAAGACATGTTTTGGGTAGCAGTAACGGTAATGATGGAGAAGATCTAGGCGAAGTTGTTGTACCCGCAACACCGGAGTCACACATGGGCAGCACATCATCAGACTCTTCGGACGACGGAGGTTTTGGAGAAGATATCGATGAAGTGATGCAGACGCCAATTGAAAAACTTAACAGAAGTAAATTTCTTTTCAAATTCACAGTTTTCGGTAAACTGAAAAAAAGTACAGATGTGAAGAGTTAACTGAAAAAAAGTGTTTGTTGCTGTAAAAGATAGTATTTTTCACAGCGCATGAGTGTT